GGGTATGTGTGCAGCACATATTAATGGTTGCCAAAAGTTAAATGGGAAGCACTGTTGATATTATTGTCTGTTTGTTATTAAACAAAAATCATTCAAGCTTTGTTCTCTTCTCCAGTGGATTAATGAAAGACATCACCCTGAATCAAATGTGATCAAGTTTCCCTTTAGCATATCATGCCTTGCTGCAATACACTTCAGACAGTGGCTGCTGCAAAACATTTTGTTTAGTGCCTTGTTTATTATTGTTTTTCTAGTAGACAAATGGTCCCAAATGTATTTTTTTCCTTAAATTCCAATAGTCCACTATACTTTGAAAGAAAACAGATTATAAAAGCTTACTTTAAAATTTTATGTCTTCTTTTAGTGACTTCATAAGTAAATTGAAATTATTCTTTAAAAGGAAAGAAAGAGACAAGACAGGAGGAAAGAGAGAACAAGAGAAAGAATGAGGAAATGAAAGACTGTGGGAAGGGAAGGGAAGGGAAGGGAAGGGAAGGGAAGGGAAGGGAAGGGAAAACTTATGTATATTTTACATAGTTAATGGGTGGATTTGTTTTAAATAAAAATTACTAGTGTTTTCTGGACTAGTATTTTTATAAACATTCAGAAAGTCACAGAAACACTGAATATGCTGGATCCTCTGGGGAGGAACCCACAATGATCATCAAGTCCATGTTCTGGCCCTGCTTGTTCATCCCCAGAAGCATTCTAAGAAAATAATTTATGTATGTTATTGAACCAGACATTTTCATGTCTCCACAGACTCAGGAATGATTCATGTCCTTTCCTAATGACAATAATACAGTAGGCTTTTGACCACTCTGAGCCGAGCTGGCTTGAGCTGGTGACCTGGAGATGAAATGTTTACTGCCAATCTCCCGGGCAACCATCTCCCCCTACAGGCACCTTTCAATAAATCTGCCCTGCCTTATTTTCAAAAGACACTTTGGAAACATGCCATTTGAATCTATTGAGAATACTTCCAAAAATCCTTTTGTTTAAGGCTTGTTTTTGTAAGTATTTTGTGTAAGACAGGCAAAGTTTTCTTTCCTTAAATTTTAAGTAACTTGCAGATTTTACATGGTTTTATTCCTTTCATTTCTCAATGTCTTATGCCGTAGCCTGTGGCATAGCACTTTGCTGGCAAGCATTCCCACATTAGACACTGCTTAGGCACACAAATCCCAGCTGTCATCTCTGCTCCTGGGAGGAGCCAAAAATGCCCTACATGCTCCCTTCCAGCTTCCTCACCCACATTGCCTTACACACCCCAGGTACCTCCACCTTTATTAAAACTGAGTCCTAAGATAAAAAGAGTGATGACATTACAGAACTGGTCCTGATCTAAACTACTAAGTACCATTTTAGATAGGGAGTATGAGAGTACATTACTCCACCATAGCCCAGCACACATGCAGAATTTTGTGTAAAAGCAGAGAAAATAGCACCTGACATATAGCTGTGTTCATGGAGATCAGTTTAATACCTCCATGTTAAATATTCCCAGGAGGCAATGCTTATTATTCCCATTAGTTTCCCATTCAAAGACATGCCCATCTGTTTGTGAAACTATCATATAAAAACAATGGTTCCCATTCTCCATGCCTTACTCATGCCTTTGTGAAACCAGATACTGGAATTTTTATCTGGGTCAAGGAATTCAAAGCAGGACAAAATAAATTCAAATTTAATATAATTAATCACTCGGAATGGAAGTTAAGTGTAGGGTTTTTTCATTATTTTTGTTGGTCTAAGTGCTAAGAGGATATGCCCACCATATTGGTAAATGCTCTATTGTAATATTCACAATGAATAGCTTCTTTCTTTAAATTTCCATATGGGCACAGTAAATTCTGTTACTCTGCCTTCAGATTTTTACTAGTTTGCATCTTTTAAAGGCATGGATGATATACTTAACTGGGATGCAGACTCAGACACCTTGTGTTTTGAATTTCTGCTACAATTTAAGTCTGTATTCTGTAGCAAATTCATTTTATATGAGTGATCCACTCACAGCTTTTTCTCTTGAATCTTCTGTTCCACAGATGTCCAAATCAGACCGCTGTAACTCAGCATGTCTATGCTGAGGGCAGCAGCAATGCTCCTCCTTCCATGTGAGCTCATCCCTGGGTGGAAGGGATAAGACACTTCCCCTTACATTACAAACTTTCACTCCCATTGCATTTCCTGTGCCAGTTCAGGACGTGTGGTCTGGTCTCTCATATCACTGCATCAGGCTTACACACAGCCACATCTCTGTGTCCTGGCCAAGCTTTTCTGGGCTGGTGCAGCTCATCAGCCACTCATGTACATGCCAGCTCCACACTTAGAGTATTTGGGCTTGGCTGATGCCTGACAATCCAAAAAATTTATATGACTTTCATTGCTAACAACCACCAGAGTGGGCTGCACGCACCCAGTCTCTGAGGAAGGCAGTGTCTGATTTTGAGGATATTTAAACTAGAGGAAGAGAAAAGATCCCACTTTTCCCTCACATTCTTGTTGAGATGGATGCAGCCTCCCATGGGGGCGAGCAGACAGGTTCTGTTCTAAGCATCTTGGTAACCTGGTGCTCCTTCCTTGCAGCTGGAGGCTAAAATTGCTACCCAAAGACAGCCAAACTCAAAGATTTACCAACCAAAGTTAAGAGCACTGTTGCTGCAGCAGGCAAGGGTTTGTAACCTATGGTGAGTAGGAACTCAGAGGGACCAAGGAGCAAGGGAACCAGGAGGACTGAGGAGAAGGGAAAGGATGAGCTAGAGCAAAGGGCACTTGTTTTGTTACCAGCCAGTGGAGACCAGGGAGAGTGTCTGGTAGATGGAAAGCGATTTGGATGATCTGATCTTCCTGGAAAACTCCATTTCCCTCTTTAGAAATTGAGCTGTGATCGCCGCCAGCATTATTATATGCCAGAAACGTATGGCATAATAGCTTTGTGTCTTCCTTCTGTCTCTCTTTGTGGCTTTCTTCCCCTATAAGGGGAGCCATCAGCACAATAGGGGATCTTACTACAATTTGGGTGCTGCTTTCAAGAGGTTTCAAGAGCCAGCAGTGCTCTGGAGCAGGTGCTTTTTAGAATATGAGTTGGATTTCTTGGTTTTGGAATAAACATATGTACCTAATGCCTTTGATAATCAATATTGGAGTGGAGATGAGTGGAATGCATGCAAACAAAAACAGATAATAATTTTCATCATTGACTGCATAAGAATCATTGCCATAGTTCCAGGTGACCAATTAGTGAGCAAACCGCAACTCTTGATCATGGTCCCATTTTGGATGAGACGTGTCAAACTGGGGAGAGAGAACTTTTGCAGATGCAATAAACTGTGAATGCTGCTGAAGTAGAGGGTAGAGGACAGAGAGTAAGGAGGCAATGAAGAGCCCTGAACAGTGCTAAAGTGGACAAGATTTACAAGTTGTTGATCAAGAAAACAAAGAGTAATACGGGAAGAAACTTCCACAGGGAAAGTGTGCAGAAATCTGGGGCACAGAAGATGAATGGGTGGATTACAGGCAATTTATCAGCTTGACATGCCCATTTTCATATATGACAATACACCCCAAGGAAAAAAAACAAAGAAAATCAAGGAGAACATGACTTGCAGCTGCTGGGAGTAATTTTTTAGCTACAGTGAGATGGCAGTAAAACAGCAACACAATAAAAATTTTTTAAAATGAAATGTCTTAAATATAGCATGCCCTGACAAAGAGCAACAAAATGTGCTGGGATGCCAGCTTTGAAGAAAAACAATGAATTTTGCATTTGAGAGGAGAAGCAGGTATTTCATAGAACTGCCTGTGTATATCATGATCAGATGAGGAGTTGAGCAACATAAAGAGCTTGCTCCAAGCCAGATTTAAGAGGCTGGGGCAATGGCTCTTGTTTGGGGTTGTTAGAAATCACGTACTTGATTGCTCAACAATGCAGTTGTAGTTAGAAGAGTAAAGACAACTCTATGGAACAAGAAAAAATTTAAGAGTTTATTCTCCCCAATGGGATGGTGAAAACTGATGAAGAAGAGCTTGCATTCCTTCTCAAGGGGCATTCATATATGCTCTGTTACAGTGTGGGACTGCAGAGACTTCTGAGGCATCCTCACAGGCCCATCAGTGGTGGCTCTCAAAGATGGTGATGGAAAGGAAAGAAAAGGCTTAATTTTGAATAAGAAAGTTGTAATCAGTCACATTCACAAGGAATATGAGGAACAACTGATCAGGCAACTCAGCAGGGATCTCTAAGCACGGAAGACAGCTGAAGGATTTTAAGTGAGCTGCATTCACTAGTGACAAACCATTTCTTTTCCACTTTTGCCTTTTTCTTTCTCAGCAGCATTACAATTGCTTGAGATTTTGCCAAGTACAGAACAGGTCTGATTTGAGAGGTTAATAGAACCAATGAATTCCTAGCAAGAAAAGGAACAATTTTTAAGACCTATCTTTGTGTTCAACCCTCAGAATTTAATAAACAATTTCCTTGGCTCCCAATTTAGATGTTTCTAGCTGTGCAGTAAGCAGAGACACATAAGTTTCATCCTTTCTACAGGGTACTTCAGATATTTTTTGGCAAGAAGACAAAGGATTGATAAGACAGCAGAAGAAAGAAGCTGTAATTTTAGGCAGAAGCTTGGCAAAAAACAGCAGGGAAATTTTCTCTCCTGGTTGGATAAATCTGGTCAAGGCCTTGAGAGTAATTGCTAAGGTTTCCAAGATGGAAAACAGGAAAATAACTTTGTTCTTACCTTATTTCCAGCCATGACATTTGCATATTATAACTGTAAGTTCTAGCTGATTGTCTTGTTCTTCTGTCCTATGCAGCTTGTGGATTTTTTGTATGTAGCCTTTTGTAGGTGGTTGAACATAATGCCAGGCTCTTCCAGGGTGAAGTAGAGTATACTGGTTACCTATTAGCACTTTCTGTACCCGGTAGGCACAGCAAGGTTCTGGGCAGTGGCCAAGATGGAAAAGCCACCTCATGTCCCATGGGTTTTCTTTTTCAGAGAGGTGAGAAAGCTGCTGAGCAGCTTTGGAAAGAGCAGGCTGCTGCTAGAAACTTTACATGTTTCCAGAAATGGATCCTAGAATCACAGAAGTACAAAGCTGCAAAGTACCACAGGGGATCATCTGTGCCCTCCTTTCACCCAGAGGTAAGATGACATTTACATTTGCCAAGACAATCTGAATGGGAGGATTATCTTCTTCCAAAAATCTCTAATGAAGGAAGAGTTCTCTTCAGCCTAGGCTGCCTGTACAACCTGTTTCCATGTTTCTTTAATAAGAATTGCTTTTTCCTAATACATAACTTAAATGCCCTTTATTTAATCTGATTATTTCTTGTCCTAAAACTAGTGAACATAATGAACAATAAATTAATCTTTTTTTATAACCCTTTACATATTAGAAAACTGCCACCATGTCCTCCCTCATTTTCAAGACTTCTAGACTAAACAAACTCACTTCCTCTGACCGTTCTCATCGGTCAAATTTCCCTACCCTAAGCTCCTTCTTCCTTCTATTCTTCTTAGTACATACTTCACATGGGGTAGTGTCCTGGGGTCCCAAAGTCACTTCACTTCCCTAGGTAAGGCTTGGACTACTTTTCTTCAGAGGAAGAGGAGACAATAACCTCCTACAGTTTACAAATGGAAGTTCTGAAGCTGCATTCCAGAAGTCTTTCTTCTTTTTTGTTACACTGTTCATCTATAATAGCTAAATTAAAATGTAGGTGGGAATTCCAAGGTCCTCCTTCACCTTACTGGTGGATGTAAGGATCTTGGTGGACTCTCTCAAACGGAACTGTAAATGTAAAATATATATTCGTCAAATTAATATTTTTATGACTGATCTTCAGTTTTGGTTTATGAACAGAACTGTACTGTAAAAATATTTTTGCCTCCAGATGGGACAAGATTGTAGAAGAACAGAGACAGACTTGTAGTACTTTGACAAAGCCAGTCAGTTTTGTACTATTTAGAATCACAGAATCATTAAGGATGGAAAATATCTCCAAAATAATCAAATCCAATCTTTGAAAAAGTACCACTGTGCCCACTGAACCATATCACACAGCACCACCTCTGCTCGGTTTTTTAACACTTCCCAAAAGGCTGACTCCACCACTTCCAAGGGAAGCCTGTTTCCATGTTATAATTATACTATCCTGTCCTATATACCACCATCTTAAACCTGGATTTGCAGTGATTTATATTTTTTTCCTGTTCTCTACATCAGTAAATTTAACAAAGAAAAATGCTGTCTGTCAATTAAGACAGGAATAACATGCATTGTGGACTGCAATTTTCAGAAAGTTCATGTGTCAAAGAGTAAGAAATGGCTACTGATCTTTCAGAATAACTAAGCAGCACCATAAAAAAAGGGAAAGGATTTCCACAAAGAAAAGCCCATACAAAGTTTGTAGTCTTTATGCAGCTCACCAGGCTACTTTTACAGGATTTTTTTTTTTTTTTGATAAAGGTTTCTCTATCGGAAAAATTCGTGCAATTGCACTCTACCACAGGAAGCAAGTTCAAGATATAGCAACATGGAAAGATCCCCAAGGAATATTTTTCAGAACATCATCAGGCAGTCTTATATTGATTACATGGCTGTCTCAGCAGTCTACTTCGTGCATTTAGAATAAAAGCATTCCCTCTAAGTGCAGGGATAATAATGACAGACATTTTTAAGGCAAACTGTTTACCAGAAACAGCCTATGAGAAAAGCACATAATAGACAAAACTGCCCCTCAGGCATTTGCTGTGGATTGAAAGAAACTCAGAAGTTTTGGGTGGGTTATTTTTGTACTATTCTGTTCCTTTATTATCCAGGATGAAACTGAGAGATCCAAGACAAAAGTTGTACATTTTGGACTTTTTGAGAGCTTGAAGGACACCTTTTCTTCCCATTTAATGAAATAATTTTTTTTTGCCAAGTAATTTGTTCCAGACCATCACAAGTATTACAGAAGTTACCTTACCTATGGCCATGCTGTTACAATTCAAGTTGGTTGCTCAGTTACTGGCTGTCAAAGTCTAGCGAAGTGACAACCCTGAAGCAGCTGGTAGACACAGAAGCAGAGGAAGAGAGAAGGAACTCTTTTTAAGTCTTGGTGTAAAAACAGGAAGTTTTTGACATTCGGCCATGGCTTTTGGGTAGTGTCCATAGGTGTTATTTTAATTTTGGAATTTTGGTTCAATGAGTATGAAAAAGAGGGAGGGAAGGAGGGAGGGTGGGAGAGGAGAGAATACTCTAAGCAGAGTATCTTAAAGTAGCAGGAAAGTACCCCAGAAATGCCAGGAAAACCTGTTTCAAAAGCAATGTATTAAAATGCACAGGATGATGCCCACTTACTGCAGTCGATACTGGGTCTTGTCCTGAGCACACAGACACAGATTTTACTTCATGTGTGACATACAAAATTTCAAACAATGTGAACTAACTAACCCTAGCAACACATTGATGGAGGAAGAGGGGATTTTACGTCTTGTTCGTGATTAACTGCTTTGAGAACCTTCAGTAATTTTGGTTTTAGCTCTACAGCACTGAAACCAGTAATAGCTTTGTCATTGCCATTAGTAATAAGAGAGGGGGAGAATGATTATTCCTTAGTTCTGAACTTGGGCAAGGCCTATGTGTAATAGGTACATTAAACAGGATGGAAAGAGGATGATCTGAAAGCTGTAAATTATTGAGTGCTATCTAATCCTGCACAATTGCTTTTTATTAGAAGCACTTCCTGGAAACTCAGGCATTTGTGACCTACTACATAAAGGCCTTCATTTAAAAGACATGAGAGTTGAGAGACTAAAGATAAGGCATTCAAAGGAGGTTGTGTAGATTTGTCCTCTCTATAAGTTGCTCTGTGAAAAAGCAAAACTCATGCAGTGTCATGAGCTGAGTCTTCACTTCCAAGTCAAAGACATTTGCCACATTTTTCTATGTTAGCCTTTTATATGTGTTATCATGATGTTTCTCATAAATGTCATTTATTAGTAGATGATTTTCCCCTTGATGGTCTCCTAAAGAGGCCAGCATACTCAGCAGAAGCCTGGTAAAGTCAGCTGCCTTTTGCCAGAACCCCACATGTACATCATAAGTGTTTTATCAGAAATTCACCTTTCCATGTAGGACAGCAGAGGTGTGAACCTGAGTTTCAAGGCTATGCTCAGGTTTCCTTCCACACTCATTAAATTTGCACAAAGGAAACAGTGGTGTTCAAACTTAGGCAATTCTGTGTTAGCCACAGACATAATACAGTTACTAAGACTTAAGGTAATGTTATTGAGAGACATTTAACACCAACTGATTTAAAATAGGGCATGAAGGGACTACTAGGCTTTCATGCATTTTAAAAATGCAGTTCTTAGCCTTTTCTCTATGAAGAAACAATGAAAATATAAATTATTCCTCCAGGGAGAGATATAAACAAAGAAATTTGACTAGAGTATTAATTACAATGGTAACATTAAAAGATAATTAGTGTTTATAAATCAAGGGTGAGGTTTCATGACTGGCTGTGCCCGGTCTGTGAGCAAACCAGGCAACTTTCTGTTGGGCTGCTCTGGAGCTGTTCAGCCTGGAGAAGAGAAAGTTGTGTGGAGACCTCATAGCAACATTCCAGTATCTGAAGAGGGCCTACAGGGAAAGCAGAGAGGGACCCTTCACTGAGATCTGTAGTTACAGAACAAAGAGTACATAGTAATGGGTACACACTGAAGGAGGGGGAATTTAGGTTAGAAATTAGGAAGAAATTTTTTAATGTGAGGGTGGTGATACACTGGAACAGATTGCCTGGGGAGGTTGTGGATGCCCCAACCCTGGCAGTGTTCAGAGCCAGTTTGGAGAAGGCCTTGAACAACCTGGTCTAGTGGGAGGTGTCCCTGCCCATGGCAAGGGGCTTGGGACTTGATGATCTTTAAGGTCCATTCCAACACCTTAACATTCTATGGTTCTATAAAATCCCTTTGGGGCTGCCAATCTTCTCCATGTATCATGATTCTGATGTGCTTATTCTGGATGTCTTTCAGGACATCAAGATCATAAAGTCCAAAACATTGTGTTTGGCTTCCAAAGGGTAGCAGTGGGTTTATGGGGTCTTTTTTGTGATTTCCAAGGAAGTTTTGTGGGTTTTTTTCAGTTGGTTGGTTGGTTTTGTGTCTTTGATTTTGATTTTGGGTGTTGGTTTGTTTGGTTTCTTTGAAGAGGCTTGTTAAAAAGAAGCTAGAAGATGCTGCTAAGAACGTGATAAGGATAACAGGGAAGAATTGAGTGCTGAAACCTTGCTATTTGTTCCTTTTTTGTCATCTATTAGGTAAGCCTTGAAAAAGGTTAAAGGGAAGCTTATATGATTAAATAGCAAAACTGGGGTCTTTATTATAGACACAGGAATTTTCTTCTGGAAAGATGAAGTTGTATCCAGGCAAGGAACATGCACTGTAATACACATTCTAGCAGATCAAATACAAAAACTTAAGTAAGCCAAGAGCAAGAAGAAAATGCTGAGGTACTCAAAACCAAGTCTAAATTATTCTAGCCCATTAGGAAGGTGCAAAATGCCCTCTAGACTGTCCAGAAGCTGAATGCCATATCAGTGTGTGATGTACTGGTGTCCTTCTTTTGAAAAGGATATATTAAAACAGTGAAAGTGCAATAAAGATGAGAATGGTGCAAAACATCTTCCTCAAGAGGAACAACTAAGTAGCAGTAGTAGTTCTCAGACTCAAAGAGAGACAACTTGAGTGAGATATGATAGATCTCTACAAAACCATGAGTGGTCTAAAGCAGGATTTAACTTTTTATCATCTACTCCCATATATGAAGTAGGAACCATCATATAAAAGGTGTAAGATTCAGGGCTGGAGTAAACAAAAGGGGATGGTTCTTCATGGGACAAAGATATGCAGCTGTTCATGTCTGAGGAAAGAGTTCATATGGGCACAAAGACAGACTGGAGAAGTAGTAGGAGCAAGAATCCATTGAAGGCTGTTGAACAAACAAACTGCATCAGGTCCCTAAAAGTTCCACTCACTCAAAAAGAGTTGGACATGGCAGAGGACCTAAGGAGGGAAGAACCATACATGCTTGTCCTGTCCTTATTTACTCTTTATCATCCATATATGGACATTTAGGGAGAAGGAAGA